CTGATTTCCAGTGGCCTTTCCTCTTGCACCTTGGGCAGGGCCTGGCGGGGGTCTCAGGTTTGGGCAGGACTTGGTCCAGTGTCCTCTCTTGTTGCATTTGAGGCATGGGCCCAGAGGAGCCTTAGCCACTGACTTATCCTTGATTGGAGGACTAGCACTTCATTTGGGGTTCATGAGAGTGGTGGCTAGGAGCTGAAAGACCTTCGTCTGGGCTTCAGCCTTGGCCTGATCTCATCTTTTGTTTTTGGATTTGGGTCTCCTTGTCTCTATTTTAAAGACCTCAAAGGTCATATTTAAAAGTTTGTCCCCTCTGGGTTTGTAGGGTTAAGATTGGTGTATTTTCTCATGGCCTGTGTAAGGCGAGAGAGGAAGACTGCCAGATTTTCATCTCTTTCCTGTGTGACCTTTGCTAATTTTTTTTTATAATTAACTGCTTTGTGGGTTGTGTTTCTCAGTCCTGCATTTCTCAATCCTTCTAGGCAGAGAACAGTATGGTCTTGAGACCTGAGACCTGCTTGCCCTTCCTGAGAGGTTTAAGTGGGTCCATATCAGGGACAGCACCCGCTCTGGCTGAGGGGGCAGGGGCCTGATTGTGGAGGGTATCTGTGTGTCCCTCCTGGGCATGAAGCCAGATTTGGCACCAGCAATTTCCCGAAGGGGGCACTTTAAGGCTAGTGCTGGAGTGGGAGGAGGAAGAGAGCCAAAAACTGCTCTGGAGCTGGTATGAGATGGGGTGGTGGTAGTGGGATCTGCTGGGTAGAGTGATGTGCTCTCAGGCTGCTAAGATGGAGGGGCCATGGACTGGGGAACTGGGGGATGATCAGTGGGATCAAAAGTGATGAAGGAGGAGGGAGATTTGAGATTCTCTGGGGCAGTGGTGGGTAAACTCATTAGTCAACAGAGCCAAATATCAACAATACAACGACTGAAATTTCTTTTGAGAGCCAAATTTTTTAAACTTAAACTATATAGGTAGGTATTGTTATTAACTTAATTAGGGTACTCCTAAGGCTTAGGAAGAGCCACATTCAAGGGGCCAAAGAGCCGCATGTGGCTTGTGAGCCGCAGTTTGCCGACCACGGCTCTGGGGGCTTAGGGTGAAGAAGGAAAAATCTGTGAGGGAGAGCAGCTGTTACAGAGAGAAGGATGTGTCCTTGAGTGTAAAAGATCCTGGGTATACAGGATCTCAGACCACTTGCCCTGCCTGCGGCAGTAATTGTCAAGGTCAGTTAGGATTTGGAAATTGAAAGTGCCATTTTACTGAAGCCAGAAGTCCTGTGTGAATTCTAGGGTCTGAAGGCTTTTAAGTAGACAGCCCATGGGTGTGTGCGGGGAATGGTCAACTGTGAATTTTCCGTGGTGACTGGCAGTGGCTTAAGGTCTGCTTTCCGTGATATTAAGGCTGAGAAAGGTGTCCTCGTCTCCCGCTAACATTCACAAAACGGAGCCCTCCCACTGTGACTGGTGTCCCCGTCAGGAGAGTGGGCGAGGGAACCTGGTTCCCCCCGAAGACTTGTCCCGACCAGTGCTGGATTTCCGTGGGGCCGGCTGAACAGTATCAGCCGGGAGCCTGGCTCCAAACCCAAAATGACAGGATAGTCTGGACGGAGGAAATCAGACTAAAGCCACTTACCTATGAATCTATGCCCGGTGCTGATGCAGGAGGAGGCAAGGCAAGACGAGGTCCACTATCCAGTCACAGGCATGACCCAGACCAGTCCGGAGGAAGGCTAGGGGGCCCCAAGTAAGTGTCACAAGTTCAGCAGAAGTTCAGCTGTGCAGGAGCATGGCTGGGGGGCTTCCCTGGACACAAGGGGAGCTCAGGAGCTAGATTATCACTGTCTCTCTGAGTGCCAAGTACCCGGTTGCTGGAACCCTGTAATGACTCTTACTGGACCCCTCACTAGACCTTCCCAAGTTTTGGCACCAAATGAAAGGTTCCGAGTGAGCTGGGGTCACGCACCTATGACATGAGGCCATAATGTATCAAAAAATATTTTATTCCAGGCACCTGGGGTGCAGGTGGGCTGAGACCGAGAAAGGCATCAGCGAAGAGAGCAGGGAGAGATAGGTTTTTATTAATTGTTGCTGGCTGCAAGCAGCTCTGCTGACCTAAGGGTCTGGTCCATCCTTAGTTCCTCCCATGCCAGGTGTCTTCTTGTTATCTGAGTTATGCTGTGCTCAAGGCTGTAAGCTTACTGCAAGATATTTACTAAACACAGTAAGTTTTTCTCTGCCCCGTTTTATTCTCTTTAACCCTTTCACTTACTGCTTCACAAAAACAACTTCGCCAGAGTAACTGTTGACCTCTGGTTGCTATCCCAGCGATCATTTCTCAATCCTCACCTTCCTCTTGACTTAGCTGGCCAGTCTTTCCCCCTGAACACAGTCTCTTCACTTGGCTTCTAGGCACCACTCTTCTAGTTGCCTTCCACTTACTAACTCTTTTTCTGTTGTGGTTTGACCTCGTCTTGAAGGCCCAGTGCTACAGGGATGCCCCAAGGCTCTAATCTTAGGCCTCATACCTAATTATTTTATTTTATTTTATTTATTTGTTAATCCTCACCTGAGGATATTTTTCCTATTGATTTTGAAAGATAATGGAAGGGAGGGTGGGAAGGAGGGAGAGAAACCTTGATTGGTTGCCTCCCACACATGCTCCCACCAGGGTATTGATGAAACCTGCAACCCATGCCTTTGACTGGGAATTGAACCTAAGATGCTTTGGTGCTTGGGCCAACGCTCTAACCACTGGGTCAGGGCTCAGTCTCATACCTTTTCATAAACACTCAGCTCTGGGTGGAGAGTCTCATAGCTCTGAACTACCCTCTGTAAAATTATCAATACATTCATACCAATAGTTATTATTCATGTAAGGACAATCCAAATTAAATTAATTGAGCTAAAAGTGTTTTCCTTGGCTGGGAATTTTTCAATGAGTCATAGAGAGCTTGCTTATATTTAAGGTTACAGATGGTATCACATTTTTTCACAATTTTCTGATCATGGGATAAAATAGAGATTGCAACAAAACAAAAAACAAGGAAGTTCTATAACAGATATCTCAGTGAGAATATTTAAAAATTATATTGCATATTGCATTTTCTGTTATCAGTATCTTAGACTGTGGGTTTGGAACTTCTGATATTCACACTATTAACATAAGCTCCGAGAATTTCCCTCAAATCATTAAAAATGGATCTGCCTTATGACCTAGAGATTCTGCTTCTGGGGATTTATTGGAAAAAACTAATTTGAAAGGATATATGCCACCCTTATGTTCATAGCAGTGTAATTTACAACAGCCAATATTTGGAAGCAGCTTAAGTGTCCACCAATAGATAAGGATGAAAAGCTGTGGTACATATGTACAATGGAATATTACTCAGCCATAAAAAGGAATGAAATCTTACCATTTGCGACAGCATGGATAGACCTAGAGTGTATTATGCTCAATGAAATAAGTCAGTCAGTGAAAGACAAATACCATATGATCAATGGAATGTAAAGAACAAAATAAACAAAATTGAAACAAACTCATAGACACAGAGAGAGAACAGAAGGGAGGGAGGGGTGTTGAGAGACTGGGTGAAAGAGGTGATGGGATTAAGAAGTACAGAATGGCAGTTACAGAATAGTCATAGGGAAGTAAAGTACAGCATAGGGAATATATGGTCAATAATACTGTGGTAAATATGTATAAGGCCAGTTGGGACACTGGAAATATCAAGGGAACACTATGTAAAGTATATGATTGTCTAACCACTATGCTGTACATCTAAAACCAATACAAAATACAATTGAAAGAAAAAAAATATAAGCATCTAATAACTGTAATGTAACCAAGACAAGGCCAAAATATTCCCCTTTTTGTGACTACTCCATTACTGTTTCTACATTGGGGTGGGTATATGATTGACACAAAAGGCAAATAGCACTGATATACTTAATTTTATAGAAAAAAAAATCATGGCACTGAACTCGCCAACAGGGAAAGCCATGTTATGTCCTTATGCCTCTTGAATCTGTGGTAGTTCACTAAAATGAATGTAAACTAACCTTGTGCTTGTGCGTTGTGTTTTGTTGTTTTATAATCACTGACCTATGTTATCTGTAAGTTTTTACAGAGTGAAATTTTTATGTTATGCAGTGGGAACCTCACCCAGTTGAAAGGGTGAAATAAATCTGACTGAGACTTCATGACTAAACTACTTTAATGAAGAAATTGAAAGATGATATGAACTGGAAAATAAATGGAGCTTTTGTAAGAATTCTGCCAAAAGATTTTACAGTCATTTTTTTCCCTTCCTGTTCAGGAAACAAGGAGGGAAGTATCATAATAAGGGGGAAATTATGGTGAAGAAAGTTTCAGGAGGCAGTGAAAACTCATCTTTTTCATCAGTACATCATGTTTCAAAGTTACCTGGTAAACACCTAGAAAACAAGCCAAAACTTAGTGACTTTAAAAAGAGAACATTCAACTACCAGTATTACTAAGTTAGTGTAATCAGTATACATAGTTGATCTGGATTTTTCAGGACCCAAAGTATTATCTATAAATTAGCTGCACAATTGCCAGAAAATTCCTTTGGTTTTAAGTTGTTAGAAATGTTCTATATATTGAGATGTTCCATTGTATTATTTGTGAGAAGTGACATTTCAAAGTGTCTCCTTGAAAGTATCTCTGGGTGCCTTGGTGTTTTGAATATGCAAATGTTTGAGAAACAGCATCAATTAATAAACCAGTCCAATAATTTAAAGCTTTGTTGAGATAATTTTTTAGAAATAACATTGTGTACCCTAGAGAATTGTGCAATTTGTCAAAGTCGATAAATATTTATATTTTATTAGGAGTACCTTTTCTGGCTTCGTTTGGGTTTGAGGAAAGAAAAAGCATCATCTTGGATGTTATGTTTATCTGATCACTAATAATTGGCTGAATGTGAAGGCCTCAGACTTGGTTTTCATGACAGTTTTCCAATTGGCCTTTCTCTTGGCAGGTTCCCAAGGGAAAAGTAGTAGTTCTCAATTTCCGATTCATAGACCTCGAGAGTGACAACCTGTGCCGCTATGACTTCGTGGATGTGTACAATGGCCACGGCAATGGCCAGCGTATTGGGCGCTTCTGTGGCACGTTCCGGCCTGGAGCCCTTGTGTCCAGTGGCAACAAGATGATGGTGCAGATGATTTCCGACGCCAACACTGCTGGGAATGGTTTCATGGCCATGTTCTCTGCCGCTGAACCAAATGAAAGAGGTATTGATTCTACATCATGGGAATAACAGCAGTAAGGATGCTCATAGTTATTGAAGGCTTAGTGTATGTCAAGCACTGTCGTAGGTACTTTATATGTATTTACTCCTTTAATTTAAACTTAAGAGAAGTTCTCAAACAGAGAGCTAATAAATGTCACCCAAACATCCAGTTTTTTTTTAAAGCCCATATATATTCTTTAAAAAATTCAAGTAGAGATATTCATGGAGTGAAAATGTAAAGTTTGCATACACATACAGTTATAGAAACATACACTTTCACCCGATTGTAGTCCCCTCTTAGAAATAGCCATGGTTGGTAGTTCTCATTCATTTCTATACATTTGCAATAACTTTTTAAAAGTGTAAGTGTGATCATGTATTCATATTGTGTCACAACTTTCTCTTTTCATTTAACACAATATGTTGGGATATTTTCCATCAGTAGATGTGAACTCTTGAAAATAGAAACCTCTACCCTTGAAAGATAAATGCAGAGGGCAAGATCTGTTATATTTGCAGCCTTTTGCCTAAGGGGACTTCCTAATCTTTTCTTTTTTTAAATTTAATGGGGTAATAGGATCATATAAGTTTCAGGTGTAGATTTCTATGATAAATGATTGATATATTGTACTGTGTGCCCACCACCCAAAGTCAAATAATTTTCCATCACCATATATTAAACTCCCTTCACCCTCTACCACCCACCACCTTTCCTCTGGCAACTACTACACTGCTGTTTGGGTCCATGAGTTTCAGTTTTATATCTCATACTAGAGGCCCAGTGCATGAATTCGTGCACGGGTGGGGTCCGGCTGGCCCGCCCTGATCAGGGTAGGGGGAGCTAAGAGGGGGTGGGCCGGCCAGGGGGAGGGGTCATGGGACATTGGCCGGCTGGCCTTGCCCCCATCAGGACCGTTTTCCGGCCACAGTGTGCATCATAGTGACAGGTTGTTCTGGTCATTTCAGTCACTTGGCTTTTATTCTATATAATAAAGAGGTAATATGCAAATTGACCATCATTTCAACAAACATGATGGCCACCCCCATGTGGACATAAGATGGCCACCACAAGATGGCTGGCAGGGGAGGGCAGTTGTGGGTCATCAGGTCTGCAGGGGAGGGCAATTAGGGGCAACCAGGCCTGCAGGGGAGGGAAGTTAGGGGTGACTGGGCCAGCAGGGGAGGGCAGTTGGAGGGGACCAGGCCTGCAGGGGAGCAGTTAGGGGCGACCAGGCCGGCAGGAATGGGCACTTGGGGGTGACAGGGCTAGCAGGGGAGGGCAGTTGGGGGTGATCAGGCCGGCAGGGGAGTGGTTAGGAGGTGATCAGGCTGGCAGGCAGAAGTGGTTAGGGGCATTCAGGCAGGCAGGCAGGTGAGCGGTTGGGAGCCAACAGTCCTGGATTGTGAAAGGGATGTCCAACTGCCCGTTTAGGCCCAATCCCGATGGGCTCCCACATTGGAGAGGGTGTAGTCTGGACTGAAGGACACCCCCCCTCTTGCATGAATTTTGTGCCCTGGGCCTCTAGTATATAAATATAGATATGAGTGGATCATATGGTTCTTAGCTCTTTCCGACTGATTTATTTCACTTAGCATAATGTTCTCAAGGTCCATCCATTTTGTAAATGACACTATTTTATCCTTTCTTATGGCTGAGTAGTATTCCAGTGTATATATGTACCATATCTTCTTTATCCACTCCTCTATCTAGGTGCACTTTGGTTGTTGTCTCCATGTCTTGGCTAATGTGAATAATGCTGCAATGAAGATGGGCACATATATCTTTGTGAATACATGATTTCAAGTTTTTTGGGTATATACCCAGGAGAGGGATTGCTGGGTCATATGGTAGCTCTATTCTTAATTTTTTGAGGAATCGCCAGACTGCTTTCCATAGTGATTGTCCCAGTCTACATTCCCACTAGGAGTGCATGAGGGATCCCTTTTGTCTACAACCTATCTAACCCTTGTTATTGCTTGTCTTGTTGATAATGGCCACTCTAAAAGGTGTGAAGTGGTATCTCATTGTAGTTTTGATTTGCATTTCCCTAATTGCCAGTGAGGTTGAACATCTTTCCATATATCTATTGGTTTTTTGTATGTCTTCTTGGGAGAGGTGTCTGTTCATGTCCTCTCTGCCCATTTTTTAATTGGGTTGTTTTTGTTTGTTTGTTTTTATATGTTTTGGATATTAAACCTTTGTCAGAGCTGTTGTTTGCAAATATCATCTCCCATTCATTTGGCTGACTCTTTGTTTTGTAGATGTCTTTTGCTGTGCAGAAGCTTTTTAGTTAGATATAGTCCCATTCACTATTTTTGTCTTTACTTCCCTTGCCTTTGGAGTCAAGTTCATAAAGTGTTCTCTACAACCAAGGTCCATAAGTTTAGTACCTATGTTTTATTTGATGTAATTTATTGTTTCAGATCTTATATTAAGGTCTTTGATCCATTTTGAATTAATTTTTGCACAAGTGGACAAATTGTAATCTAGTTTCACCCTTTTGCATGTGACTTTCCAATTTTCCCAGCACCATTTATTGAAGAGACTACCTCTACTGCATTGTGTCTTTCTGGCTTCTTTGTCAAAATTACCTGCTTATATACATGTGGTTTTATATCTGGGCTCTCTATTCTGTTCTATGGATCTGTGTCTGTTATCTGCCAATATCATGCTGTTTTGATTATCATAGCTCTGTAGTATAATTTGAAGACAGGTAGTGTGATACCTTTGGCTTCATTCTTTTTTTCTCAATATTGCTTTGGCTATTCAGGGTCTTTTGTGGTTCCATACAAATCAGATGAATTTTTGTTCTATTTTTTTTTTTAATGACATTGGAATTTTGATGAGGGTTGCATTAAAACTGTATATTGCTTTGGGTAATATGGCCATTTTAACTATGTTGATTCTTCCAATCCATCAAAACAGGATATTTTTCCATTTTATTGTGTCTTTTTAAATCTCTTTTAATAATGCTTTATAGTTTTCAGTATATAGGTCTTTCACATCCTTTGTTAAGTTTATTCCTAGGTACTTTATTTTTGGTTGAAATTGCAAATGGAATTGTTTTATTTCATTTTATTGAAGATTTTTCATTCATGTATTTATTCCACAATCAAAATAAATCATAATTTAAAAATAATAACATTTTAAAAGGTAAAGGAGACTTTGTGTCACAGCTTCATTAATAAAACAGAAGTCAGTCTAAAATGCAACACTAAACATGTGTTCTATTCACATTGTGGAATATAAATACATAGTAATTACACATAAAATTTCACTAAAGATCTGGAATGAGACAAATAACCATTTGGAACAAACTGCCCAATGAGTAGAGGTATGCTGCAAATAATTTCTATTAACATTTTCCTGCAAGAGAGAAAAATCCCCAAGGTAACTATAAACGCAAGCCCCTCATTTCATGCACCTGACCTTGACTTTTGTCTTCCTTCCTCAGACATTTCTAATTCCAGAAAGGCTTCTACACCCCATGCTCAAAAAGGCCATCACGAGTCCCAAAGGACCTTAGCACAGACAGCCGTTAATAAGCCAGGATGCAGTATTCATTCAGATCCTCCAGGGAAATCAAGAACCCAAATCTGTAGAGCAGCAGCATTTTTTTTTTTTTTTTTGCAAAATAGTTTTAACTGTGTAAAGAGCTATAACAGGCCATGTGCATTTCATAAGCAAACTGGAATATTATCTTGTTATCTTTCTATTTATTTTCTGAAGTTTTGTTGTTAGTATATTGGAAAGCAGTGGATTTTTGTACATTGATTTTGTATTCTGTGAATTTACTGTATTTGTTTATTGTTTCTAATAGTTTTTGGTGGAGCCTGTAGAGTTTTCATGTACAGAATCATGTCACCTGCAAAAAGTGACACTTTTACTTCTTCAGTCCCAATTTGGATGCCTTTTATTTCTTTCTCTTGCCTTATTGCTCTATCTAGGACTTCCAGAACTTTGTTGAATAAGAGTGGTGAGAGTGGGCATCCTTTTCTTGTTCCTGATTTTAGAGGAAAAGCTTTCAGTTTTTTGCCACTGATTATAATATTAGCTGATGGTTTGTCATATATGGCCTTTATTATGTTGAGGTACTTTCCTTCTATTTCTATTTAATTGAGTGTTTTAATCATAAATGGATGTATCTTATCAAATGCTTTTCTACATATATTGATAAGATCATATGACTTATCCTTTCTTTTTTTTTTTAAAACATCAGTGACCATCTTTATTTTTTTTTAAATTTTGTTTTATTGCTTAAGGTATTACAAAGAGTATTACATATGTCTCCCCCCCACCCTTGACCTTCCCCCGGACTCCCCTACCCCCCAGTGTCTTGTTCCATTAGTTTATACTTATATGCATGCATACAAGTCCTTCGGTTGATCTCCTACTCCCCTTCCTGCCCCCCAACCCTCCCCAGCCTTCCCGCTGTAGTTTGACAGTCTGTTTGATGCTGCTCTGCCTCTGTATCTATTTTTGTTCATCAGTTTATAATGGTCTTATTACCCGTAAATGAGTGAGATCATGTGGTATTTTTCTTTCATTTCGGAGAAACTGGGCAGGGAAGAGGTGGCTGCTGGCGATCGGTGATTGGAGAAGACTCAGAAGCCAGGCTGCATCGCCGCCCGGTGACCTGATCCGGCCCCACATCGGGAATCAGGAGGCAGCTCTTCACCTGGAGGCTTAAGCCCAAGGTGGGAGGTGCCATTTTCTGTACGGAAAGGCAGGGGGCATGGCTAAGTACAAGGTGGCGCCATGTTTGCATATGGAAAGGGGGCATGACTCAGAGCAGGGCGGTCCCACGTACGGAGAGGCGGGGGTATGGCTCAGCGTGGGGCGGCGCTACGTCCGAAGAGACTGGTGCTGAGGCCGGGTGTTTGCCTCAGGATGTGAGCAGCAGGAAAGGAGTGCAAGGTAGAGGAGGTGCAGCTTCAGGCAAATGAAGGACAAGTGCAGGTCTCCCAGCTGCGATGCCTTTCCAAGCTTCCTGGCCCAGG